CCTGTCTCCTCTCCCTGCTCTGTGCCTCAGCACTTAATTACCTCTTTTCAATTAGTAATGTTTGCCCACGTAGTCACTTACCAGTGACTGAGGTGGTAGTGAGCTCACTTGTTACTAAGATGGGGGTGGCAGGGCCTCCCAGAATGTGGTTTTGGTGGGTTTTATCAACCATCCTGAGCTAATCTCATGCAAGAATATAAAGAAAGGGGGTTGAACTGACTAATAGAATCATCACAGAATAGGTTGGGTTGGAAGGGACCTTAAAGATCATCTTCTTCCACCCCATGCTGTGGGTAGGGACACTTTCCACTAGACCAGGTTGCTCCAAGCCCTGTCCAACTTTTGATTGCATTCCTAGCTTGATTTCTTTCTTTCTAACCTGACTGTAATCTCCATACCAACATCTAATGGCAGATACCACTACAGCAGTGTTTTACAAACCAGGCTCAGCAAGCTGCACCTCTCTAGAGCTAGTCAAACACACAGGGTAGGGAATATGCCTCCACCAAGACAGAGTTTGATCAGCATGTCCTAGCTGATTGCAGGAGAAGTTCATCTCGACCTGGTAACTCCCTGGCACACACCTGTGTGCTGTAAACCCACACACTCCCCCAGCTCTCCTCTGTGGGCTATGGCACCACAGAGAGCAGCAGCAGAAACCCAGAGACTTATATAAATGCTGACAGGTCTCTTAGCTAACAGCTGATGTGCTAAATTTGAAGTGACATCTCCTCCAGTAGCACCAGAACCCCTTTTGAATGGTACTGAGAGACAAGATGATAATACTTTGGAGACCTCTTGTAGGGTCTTCCACCTCCTTCCCAAACACTGCTGCTCAGTCAGCATCACAACACCCTGGGGAGAGTTGTTATCCCTGAGCCTGAGCCCAGGAGGGTGGGACAGAGCACCCTAAACTGCTAAGAGACACTGATGCACCTCAACTCCTGAGGCTGTGCCACCTCCAGTTCCTCCCAAAGCCATTCCTGGAGCCTTAAATTCCCCTGTGCCCATATCAACCTCAGTCTGAGCCAGAAACAGGGAAGGTCCCAGTAGGGTTAGAGGGGTTAGAGGAAAAGGAAAGTGCAGTACCCAACTCCTGCTTTGTGGTGGCTGCTGGAGCTCTCTCTGCAGCTGCTGTGGTGCTGGCGGCGCTGGTGGCAGCTGTACTGGTGGTACTGGTGGTGGTGGTGGTAGTTGTGGTGGTAGTTGTGGTGGTGGTTGTGTCGGTGGTGGTAGTTGTGTCGGTAGTTGGGGTAGTTGTGTCGGTGGTGGTGGTAGTTGTGTCGGTAGTTGGGGTGGTTGGAGCACTGGTTAGTTCAACTGTAGTTGGAGGGATCCCAGTTGCAGCTGGGAGAGGGAAACACTGACTTTGTAGACGAGGTGATGTCTCTCCCCAGGGTTTGTACTCACCCTCCCCAGCACTGGCCATGCTGGCACACAGTGGGAAGCAGAGCAGCACAGAGCTGGGACACAGGCAGCAAATCCCACTGGGAATGTGAGGCTGAACCTCTTTCCCCATGCAGGGATGGCCATGCACCCAGTGAGGGGTGAGGAGGAGGCAGCACGTGGGGGTTACCCCCAGCAAACTGTGTCTCTGCCCCCACAGTTTGGTCCCTGCCCAGGGCTGAAGGACCTGCTGCTCCTCTGCCTTTGCTCTGCCCCAGGGTTCAGCCACTCAGAGGGCATGGAAGAGGAAGCTGAGGGGTGTTTGGGGATGCACAGACTGTCCCCAGCCCATCATCCTCCCACCCCGAGCAGGACTATGCTGGGAGCACTCAGAGCTCCCTGGAAAATGAAATGGGATTTAGCTGTTAAGAACACACACTAATCCCATTTGTCGTGGGCCAGGCAAGCTGCAATTACATTAATTCAGCTGCCCCTGGCCTACACCTCCAGCATTTCTGAGCTGCCAATTCAGCCTGCAGCTCCTCAGCTCCTTCCCCCTGGTTTGTCTCTGCTCACACTGTGCCTGCTGATGGAGCAGCTTTAGCATTAAAGTGGATTTTGGCTCGTGGGGAGTGATGGATTGTGCTTTGCCATCACTGCCCCTTACAATTTACACTTAAACAAGGACATCCCAAGCTGTCCAGGGGGAAGGGCTGAGCAATTTGTTCTCTAAACAGTTCCCATCCATGTCTCCCCTGTGCTGTGTTTCCCAGTCAAGGGGAGAATATGCCCTTTGCACATTCCCACAGTGTGGGTGAGGGTCCCATTGCCTTGGGTCTGAAAACCTGCCAGCAGAAAATGCAGCTGAAATGTTGTTTCAGCTACCAAAGGGAACTCACTCAGAGGAGATTTACCCTCACATTAAATTGTATTTACTTACTCTCCCTGTAGATCAAGGGATTACACATCCCTCTGTAGGCAAATGAAACAGCCATTCTAAATATCACTCACAAACAAGAAGAGCTCGAGGAAAGCACTTTAAAAGGTGTCCCAGGTCTAAGCCAAGGCTTGATCTCTCACCAAGTCCATCCCCAAGGGGAAACAACCCCTAAAATCACAGCCCTGCCAGGGATCCAAGGGCAGAGCAGAGCAGTAGGTCATTCAGTCCATCTCCCTACTGCAACAGAACCACAGTTAGGGCACATCCCAAAAACACCAGCCCAGCCCAAGATGTGCCCCAAGAGCAGCCACAGCCATCCCAAAACATCAGCCCAGCCCAAGATATTCCCCAAGAGCAGCCACAGCCACCCCAAAACATCAGTCCAGCCCAAGATATGCCCCAAGAGCAGCCACAGCCACCCCAAAACATCAGTCCAGCCCAAGATATGCCCCAAGAGCAGAACATCCTCTCTGTGCTGGTCCCACACCATCCCAACCTCATGCAGCACCCAAATAAAGCCCCTGCCGTGCACGGGGGGATGTCCAGCCCAGGGGAGGAGGTGACAGGGAGGGCACCAGGCACAGCTTCATCCTTGTGTGTTTGTGGCATAGCCAAAAAAGTGATGCTGAGGGTTTTGCTGCTCTGAGTTTCTTTCCCCTGAATCGCTGCTGAAGGACTTGGCTGTGTCCTAAGGGCACACGTTGTGAAAGCCTTTGTAGGGCTGAGAAGAAGTGCTAAGATCTATCTCTGCTGATTCACAGAGGGTTGGGGAAGGTTAAGAGATTGGTGTCAGCAGGTTAATGTCACCATTAAGGCGATGGAGCTGCACTTCCTCCAGAGCTTGTTCCCTCCACAATCAACCAGCGCTGGCGACACCAGCTATTAGCTAATGCAGGCTCAGCATTCCCCTGGGAGCCCCTGGCTCCCCTCGAAGGGAAACAGAGCCCAGGAAGGCACAAAATAACTGGCTGGAAGGCAAGAGCTGGTGGAAAAACCTTTCAGCCTGCCCCGTGCCTCTCCCTCCCAGCACCGGCCAGGGCTGTCTGCATCACCCACCACTGCTGGGATGGCTTTAGCAGAAGGAGAGATTCAGCTTTAATACTCCTCTAGACCTTAGATGGGAAGAGATTATCTGGGATAAGTCCAAGCCTCGCTATCCCTGGTGCCAGGGCATCATCTTGCTGTCTGCCATGCAGCTCTGCACGCACACAGGTGAAGCTGCAGCCCCCAAAACTCTCCTGGATGCTGCTCTGACTGAAGCAATTGGGCATCAGGCTGAGCTGACAGTGATTCCAGGCAGGATTTGCCCACCCTGCAGTAGCCCTGGGGGAAGTGAGCCCCGAGAGCAGAGCTATCACATTGCATCAGGGTAACACTCACTCCTCAGCACACCCCGAGTGAGAGTGTTGGCACTGGGGAGGAAAATCAACCTGGCAGGAGGAGGAACAGGTCAAAAGTGGGATAGAGGGAGATGGAAAGCAGAGCTCAGAGAGGGGAGGATGGGAAGGCAGCACCAGGGCTCCTGCAGTCAGGGGGATTTAGCCCTAAGCTGCCCCAGGATGTGAAGCTCCAACCTCATTAGTGTTTCCATCCGAGCTGTGTGAGGGAGGAGAGCTCAGCTGGGAGATTTGGGCCAGAGAAGATGAGGGGCATTTATTTGCTGGGCTTTGAAATGCAGCCCCTAATGAGAGCTGGTTCCAGCTGGGGGGGGAGATGAAGGGAAGCTTTGACAGGGCTCAGAGCTCTCTAGCAGCCCCAAAAGCACAGGACAACCCCAACACAGGGCACAGACCCTGCCCAGGGCACCTGGGGGTGCCCTCACTGCCCACCACGTTAGGGCTGGTCAAGGAGGGACACACAGCAGTGCTCTAAAGGAGCTGGGGGACACAGAGAGCCAGGCTGGCATTCCCAGCACTGTAGGAATCACATCCATCCTCCTAGAGCTGTGATTGCACTGCTTCAGCAGTAAAAGGGTGCTGAGCTTTGCAGAGTGGCTGGAATGATTCCCTGCACTCCAGGCTTTGGGCAGCAGTTGCCTCAAGATTAGGCACAGCAGTTGGAATGTGTGATGGGGACAAAAAACCCTGACTGGAAGCAGAGGATGGAACAGGGAAGGAGCTGTCCCTTTCCCCAGCTCAGGGCAGAGCATCATCCTGAGCACCAGAGCTTCAAGCAGGCTCAACCCCCCCCAGGACCCCCAGGAAAGTCAGAGTAAAACCAGCACCAGCAATTCCCATCCTCCTGCTCCCAGCCCTCGTTCCTGGAAACCTCTAGCTGAGCACTCAGCTCATTACCAGGCTCCTCTTTAAGGCAGAGATGCTTTTCTGTCTGGGAGCTGCATTATTAGCCTGTCAGGGGCTGGAGAGGGGGGAGATGCAGCAATTAATAGTTGAGTAATGAGAGATGCTGAGCTCTTGGCTGCTGCACCATCAGTGGACCAGTAAAAGAGCCTAAACCTTACACACACACACACAAAAAAAACTCTGCATGAAGCTCAGATTAGGGAGAAACAGAGAGAAAGAACCATCAAAGCAAAAAGGAGATAGTTAAAGGGAGAGCCCTAAAGAGAGGACTCAAGCCCTGCCCTTAGTTCAGGGAGTAGTTGCTTTTTGTTGGCAAAATCCAGGCAACAATCCCCATCTCTTCTGCTCTTTAATTATTTAAAGCTGCTTTTAATGTGTTGTTAGGCTCTAGGAACAGCTTTCCCTTGGGTGTGTCTACAAAATAATTAGGCTTGGAGAAATTGGATTAATTTTTCATCGTTTTTGATGAGTGGCCAAATAGATTCTCAGAGATTTATTTGTTCTTCTCGCCCCCTCACAGCTCGAACAACAGGAGGAAACTGTAAAGTCTCTCCCAGAAAGTGTTGCAAATGTGATGTGAAAAGATAAGAAATTCAAGGCTAGAAAGGGGTGATTGAGCAGCCTCCAAAAGAGAGAGGTCAGCACTTCTTTCTGGCGCTAAAAGGAACAATAAGATCTTTCTCCTCCAGTTCCTAATTGTGGAGAGACAAGAAGGGAACAGAGAAAAGTCAGAGAAGTCAGTGTTTTTCCTTAAGGTCTAAACCCAATACCCTTTATGGTCCCTGATGGTGTTTTTCCATACACACAGATAGTATAGGAGCCAGTTTTGTCTTTTCCTCACTCCTAGCATAAATAAAAGCCCTTTTTAGATGTCCTTTCCCACATCACTCCTCTCTTTGTCCAGGTTTGGCTTAGGAAAAGCTTTACCTTTCCTAAGGGAAACTCCCTGTGCTTCCCTTCGATTCCATCAAGCTGAACCACTTTCTCCTACACCCCCAGAACAGCTCTGACCCCTCTGTGTGAGGTTATCCCTGCAAAAAGAAAAAAGACCTTTTTCTCTCTCTTGGTGCCAACAGCCCATGGCAAAGAGCATTTCCCTGCAATTTAAGACAACTTTCACTGTGAATCCATAAAAATCCCCCGAAGTAGGTCAGGAAGAGGAGATGGGAAAGGTCAAGCAGCAATTTCACTTGGCCCCAGACTGGTTGGGGAGAGAAAAAGGCAAACACTGCTCAGACTGTGTAACAGCTCCTGTGCTGTGGCCTGAGGAGAGATGACATCCAGCTCCAGAGCAGGACAGGGATGTGAGCTGGAGCTTCTTGTGGCTGATACAGCTTTGATTCCTCCTGCT